GAAAGAAATCTCACAATTTTACTTAAAGTAGAAATATCACATTTTTTTCTAATAATTTTACAGTATCAAAAATTTTCTAACATAGAAAAAACATCACAATTTTTATTAAAAAGGTTATGTTTCAAAATAATGAGGTCGCGTGCGCATAAAATTTATCGCGCCTGAAGATCGTGATAATAAGTAGAAATAATTATTTCATTTAAATTTAAAAAGAATGGATTATTTTCTAGATAATAATGTCACTTACATACAAAACTTATAAAATAAAAATTCTGGACGGAATTATCACTATTTATTAAAAACAGACTATTTTTCAGGAAGACGATGTCACTTACCTAAAATATTTGAGAGGGTGCTTCCGATAAAAATTCGGCTAGGGAGAGGAGCTCACTGTGTTTCGACCAGAAATGGAAAGATTTCAGAAGTTTTCTAGGGTGGGAGTTGCCTCTCGTATTTAAACTCTTACGACACCTTATTATATTATTTTATTAAGTGACACCTCATAAACGAGGTGTAACCGTTACAATACCCCTTTTATGCTTAAAGCCGACGTCCACTTGACGTGGCAAGGTAGAAGCAAACAAAAGAAACTTAACCAAAAGATTTTGAAAATAGTGATGGTCTCTAAGGACCATCATGCTCATATAGACCCTCACTTATTAAGAGTTTCTTTCCTTCTTGTTTATTTTTTATTTTTATTTTTAATTTTTTTTTTTTAAAATTTTAGAATTATTACATTTTTCTACAACAGTGCGCGGTAACGTCTTTGCACATTGCGGATCACAATTTAAAATCCGTGAGAAATTTCAAAAATCTCAAAACATGCAACTTTGAGTACATTCACAAAATTCTCAAATGGTTGAGATTTTAAGGTTTTTTGACACCATTTCCTTGGTCAAAACATTGCCTGAAGAGGGCCAAAGTTGCTGGAATTAGCAGCAACCGTGGGTCGTGTCGTGCCTCAATTTTAGGCCATATCTCTTTCATTAATGCACATTTTTATCGTGTCATAAAAAGTGAACTTAGAGTAAACATACATGTCTTCTATTTGGGACCAATTTGGTCCCATTTGGACACCATTTGGCCCATGATCATTTTAATGCTAGAAACAGTAAAAGATTTTGCGATTTTTGTCGTGCTTTTAAAGGACCCTTAATATCTCGTGGTCAATGTGCATTTTGGGCATGAAACCTTATTCGTGCCAACAAGTCTCACAATGAGCATTCCATGAGTTTCCATGGATAACAATATCATGCATACATATGTAACATGGTCATGGAATTTAGGAGAACACTCTCAAATTTCCAACCTTGTGCCAACCAATTCGTACTTCACATGTTTCATTCTATCATCCAACCCATTTTCATCATGTTTTCAACAGTCATGGGTGCATAAAAGCTAGACCCACTTACCTTAATTCTCACGGTGCCTCAGCTCCCAGCTCATGGCCTCCACGGGCTCTCCTTAGATCCACCAGTGGGCTTTCTTCAAAGGTCGGCGGTTAACTCCTTAGGGAAAGAGAGAGTGTGAAATGAGCAAATCTTGTTTGTCCAATGGCTTAAGTACTCATGGTTGGTAGGATTCACTATGGCTGACGTAACCACTCATGCCTCTGACACGTATGGGGCGGCACTGTCAGGTGACAGCTGTGTGGTTGACCAAAACACACACCGGTGCTGCTTCCTCTTTCACTCACCCGGCGCTGGCACTGCTTCTCCCTTCTCTCAACCGGTTCTGGCACTGCCTCTCCCTTTTCTCAATCAGTGCTGGCGCTGCATCTTCCTTATCTCAACCGACGCTGGCGCTGCTTCTCCCTTTTCTCAACCTGCGTTGCGCCTTCGTCACTCACCCAGCATTGTGCCTTTCTTCACTCACCCGGTGTTGTGCCTTTCCGTGGAAAAATCGTGGTCCTTACATCATCCTCCTCCTTAAAAAGGATTTTGTCTTCAAAATCATATTAAATTTAATTAAACAGGTGGGGGTATTTCTATCTAATTTCATCTTCCCGTTCCCATGTCAATATTTCCTTTGATTGATACTGCCATTGCACTCGCACCAAGGGAATCTCTTTATTACGCAATACTTTTACCCTCCTGTCTAATATCCCAATCGGTTGTTCAATATAATTCAAATCTTCCTTGAGCAGGATTGGTTCGTACTCCAAGACATGGAATGGGTCAGGTTGGTATTTCCCAGCAGTGATATATGGAAGACATTGTGGACGTTGTCCAGTTCATGTGGCAGAGCAAGTCGGTAAGCCGTGCTTCCATTTCATTTCAGGACTTTAAAAGGTCCAATGAATCATGGGCTCAATTTCCCGTTTTTATTAAATCTCGTAACACCCTTGGTTGGTGATACTTTTAAGAAGACTCGATACGCCACTTCAAACTCGAGGTTTCTCTGGCGTTTATCGGCATAACTCTTTGGCTGACTATGGGCTGTCTTGAGGCACTTTCTAATTAAGGGATACTTCTCAGAAGTTATCTGAACCATTTCGGGCTCTAATAATCTTCTTTCGCCCACCTCGTCCCAAAAGATGGGCGGTCTACACTTTCTCCCATACAGTGCCTCATAGGGTGCCATCTGAATACTGGCTTGGAAACTATTGTCATAGGCAATTTCTATCAGAGGTATATGGTCTTCCCAACTTCCCTTAAATTCAATGACACATGCCCTTAATATGTCCTCCATGTTCTGGATGGTTCTCTCTGATTGTTCATCTGTTTGGGGATGAAGGGCGGTGTTAAATGTAAGTCTGGTTTCCTAAGGCTAACTACAGACTTGTCCAAAATATGGAGGTGAATCTAATGTCCCTGTCAGACACAATGCTGCTGGGCACTCCATGCAATCTCACAATTTCTATGATGTACAACTGGGCTAGCTTGTCCAGGCTATAGGTCGCGTGAACCACCACGACCCAAATACTATCATGCCCTGCACTTGATCTCAGTAATCCAAAAATAAAGTCCATCGTGATGTGTTTCCATTTCCACTCTGATATGGGCAGGGGCCATAGCAGTCCAACAGGTTTCTGATGCTCTGCCTTCACTTGTTGACACGTCAAATACTTAGTGACAAACTGTGACACATGTCGCTTCATGTTGTTCCACCAGAAGGTCTTTTTCAAATCCTGGTACATCTTTGGACTCCCTAAGTGTACCGTGTAGCGGGAGTGGTGTGCTTCCTTTAGGACAACCCTATTTATCTTCTTGTCATTAAGAACACACACTCGGCCTCTAACCCTTAACAAATCATCGCTCCTCATAAAGAAATCTTCTTTTCCTTCCATTTTCATTTCTTCAAGGATTTTTATCATCAAGGGATCTCCTTTTTTGGCCGCTCTGATTTGTTGAAGGAGTTGGGGTTCCATCCTTAAACATGACAACATTCCTTTCCCCTCCCTACAGGGCTGAGATGGGTGCCACTCCATCACATCTTCTAACAGCTTCATTTCTCGAACCATCAAATATGCCACGGAGACCACAACTTTTCGACTTAAGGCCTCGGCTACTACATTAGTCTTGCCCTGTTGGTAATCAATTGTACAGTCATAACAATTCAAGAAGTCCATCCATCTTCTTGGCCTCATGTTCAGCCCTTTTTGGGAAAAGAGGTACTTGAGGCTCTTGTGGTCCGTGAACACCTTAAACTGGGCTCCATAGAGATAGTGCCTCCAAATTTTTAACGCGAACACTATTGCCGCGAGTTCCAAGTTGTGAGTGGAATAGTTTATCTCATGCAGCTTTACCTGCCATAGAGGCATAAGCAATAACTCTACCTCTCTGCATAAGTACACATATGAGCCCTTTATGAGATGCATCGGTGTAAACCACAAAGTCTCCATTCCACTCTTGCAAGGCCAGTATTGGGGCTGTGACTAGTCTCTTCTTAAATTCCTGGAAACTCCACTCACACTCCAATGACCATATAAATTTTGCATTCTTTTGGGTCAGTCGAGTCAGGGGACGCACTATCTTTGAGAATCCTTCTACAAAGCGCCTATAGTACCCTGACAGTTCCAGGAAGCTACGAACCTCAATCACATTTGTTGGCCTTTCCCACTTAAGTACGGTTTCGATCTTAGAGGGGTTGGCCGTGATCCCATCCTTAGAAATAATGTGTTCAAGGAAGGCTACACTGGGGAGCCAACACTCTCTCTTGCACAACTTAGCATACAATCTTTCCAACTTCAAAGTTTTAAAGACCATTCTTAGATGTTGTTCTTGCAATTCCCAACTCTTAAAATATACCAAGATATCATCAATGAAAACTATTACAAAGTCATATAGGAAGGGTCTGAACACCCTATTCATCAAATCCATGAACACAGCGGGGGCCTTGGTTAATCCAAACGACATCTCATAGTGACTGTATCGAGTTCTGAAGGTGGTCTTTGCAATGTTTTCCTCCTTGACCCGCAATTGATGATAACCCCCATCGAAGGTCAATCGCCGAAAACACTTGAGGTCCTTGGAGTTGCCCAAAGAGGTCGTCAATCCTAGGCAGAGGGTACTTATCTTTCACTGTCACTTGGTTCAACTGCCTATACTCAATACATAATCTTGAGGACCCATCCTTTTTCTTCACAAACAAGATCGGTGCCCCCAGGGTTACACACTAGGTCAGACGAATCCTTTATGCAATAATTCCTGCAACTGCTCTTTGAACTATTTCAGTTCTGCTGAAGCCATTCTATATGGGGCTTTAGAAATAGGAGCAATTTTAGGTACTACTTCTGTCTCAAGTTCGATTTCCCTTTCTGGAGGTAGAGATGGCAACTCCTCTAGAAATACCTCAGGGTATTCTTTTACTACTGGTGTCCCTTCTAACTGAGTCTGAACATCCTGATTCTCCACCACATAGCTAGGTATCCTTCACAATTTTTAGCCAGAAGGCGAGAGGCTCCGAAGGTAGAGATGGGGAATTGTCCCTAATGCCCTTGAAATGTATTTCTGCTTGATCGGGACCTTTAAAGGTTACCATCTTTTCATGGCAGTCGATGGTGGCATGGTGTATAAACAATCAATCCATGCCTAGAATTACATCAAATTCTTGAATATCTAGGTGGGTTAGATCCAGAGGTAGGCCGCACCCATCAATGATGAGCTTACACTATTTATATATTCTATCAGTCTCTATAGAGCCTCCCACAGACGTGCATACTATTAAAGTATAATTGAGACATGCAGGTGCGACATTCATGTAATGGGCAAAATGGGGTGCAACAAATGAATGAGAGGATCTAGGGTCAATTAAAACTTTAGCATTACTATCACAAATTGCGAGCATACCTCTAATCACTGAGGTGGATGCCTTAGCCTCTTATTCATTTAGTGCGAACACTCGTCCTTGGGTCCTCGGGCGATCTTTGGTCTTCATCATTGGGCAGTCCTTCTCCCAGTGGCCAGGCTTACCGCATTTCAGATATACATTCTTCTTCCGATAGCATTCCGCAGTAGTGTGGTTGCTTCTCCCACAATAAGTACAAATCGGGTGTCGGTCATTGTCCATATTGCCTGGAAGACTCTTCGGGATCCTTGGGTTAGGTGGGTACGGTCTCCCTCTGGCATTTATCCTAGAAGATTGCCAGGCTTTCTTTCCAAACTACCCTGATGGCACAACTTCCCTTTTTCCTTCCTCCCTTAACCTGTGATCCTCGCAATCGTTTTCCATCTTTAGAGCGTGGTCTACGATTGGGTGTACGACTTTATATTGGCCGACATCACCCTACTCCTGATATCTGGTCTAAGCCCCCTATCAAATTTAGCCACCTTTTGTGCCTAGATATTTATGATGTGGGGCGTATACCTAGAAATCTCTGTAAATTAGGCGACATATTATTCATCAGTCATACCCCCCTTGCTGGAGTTCAATGAATTCTACTTCCTTCCTTTCCTTGAATGAATCAGGGAAGTACTTCTCATCAAAAGCCACCAAAACGTTTTCCCAGGTGATCTCTGTCCCTGTCGCCCTCCAAGTGTTCTTCAACAAGTCCCGTCAGTATTATGCTTGCCCTTATAGCATAAAGGCTCCTAGCTTAACGTTTTTCTCATTTGAGCATTGCAACACCTTTAAGATCTTCTCTATTTATTTTTTCCACCTCTCAGTGTTCTCAACTCCTCCCTGCCCCAAAAAGGTTGGGGGTGTCATTTCCCTAAACCTCTCCATGAGGCTACTGTCATTCTACTCGGGGGTAGGAGTAAACTAGGTTGGCATAGATTCCTTCTTGATTTGGGTCATAACCCCAGAGTTCTATAAAACTCGCCGAGTGCCCTAGTATTGTCATCACTAGAACTCGTGCTGTGGGTATGGGTTCTCTTTTAACCTAGTCACAAGAACACCGAGTCACTTATCCACCCCAAAATAATCCAAAGGACTATCCTAACTCCCTAGGCCAAGAATCTTATCCTGGCTGCTCCGATACCATATTTGTCACGACCTTGTCCGCGACTATCGTACCTTACGCAGCAACGGATGATCGAGCATGGGTCCGTGATCTAATATAACATTTGTCACTCAGGAGGGAGTAGACTTGATGCTTTTATTATCGGTGATAAGGAAAACCAAAGAAAAGAACTAAAGCAACAGCTCAAGTAGCAGAAAACATAAAGAAATCCCAAATACCAAAAATCTATTACATTAAATCCTTCCCAAAATATTACATTCAGTTCGGGGCATTAAGGCCCAATATTACACATCAACAACACAACAATGAACAAAACCTCGGGCTAAACAGCCCAGACATAAACAAGTCTAAACACCTTCTTCGAGAAGTCCCACTCTGGCCTGCCACCGCAAAATCTGAGCCCCAAGCCATGACCCTACCACTATCAATCTACAAGGAGAGGAGAAAAATAATGGGATGAGCTATAAAGCCCAGTAAGCTAGTCCAATGTTATGCATCTCTTGCGATTCTTTCCATGTGTGATAACAGTTCAGTTCATCAATATACAATCATAGTTTGGCATATATGAATATCAGGTCAGGGCGATGAGTAAGAACATTCTTCTAAGCAACAATCACCATCGAATTAGTATGATAAAAAAAATTCTATCAGTAAAATCATTAATCATTCAATCATTCCAATTCCAACATACCATACACAGAAATTCAATTATTAAACACGCACTCCCTAGATCATCTACTCCAATAATAGAGGCCTTATCTATTAGGCTAAGCCAACTTCATTGCTTAAGGCCTCTACTATCACACAGGAGGGAGAGTAATGACAAGTGGGGTAGTCCACTTTGTAATACCCTCAACACACGCACACAATACCCAGCACTCATTGGGGGTCCGACAGGCCGTCACCTTGCAAGGCATCTAATCAAATCTCATATCTTGTCACATAAATCTTAGGGAGCAACCGGTTTTTTTTCCCCTAACCCGTTCCTACCATTGTGCAACCCAGGGAGTATGCCGGTATCACATTCTTTACTACCGATGAGTGTCCTATCATGTAGCAGGGGATGTCACAACAATACCCACTATCGGTGAGTGTCCCACCACGTAGTGACCATTATTCTCATCAATGTTTTTGTGAACCTAGCTCTCGCTATCAATGGGCTCGAGTTCCACCGCGTAGCAACCAATGTTCTCATCAAGTCAGGTATCCAGCACCAAAGGACTCGAGTCCCAATGTGTAACGGTCAACCATCTCATCCTTATAGCAATGTAACATCCACTACCACTGAGCTTGAGTCCCAGTGCGTAGCAAGCATTATCATAGCAGTGTGCACTACCGGTGAGTGTCCCACCGCGTAGTGGTCAACTTGAAAATAAATAGTAACCGTTCATCACAGTTCCATAATAATGTCCACTACCGGTGAGTGTCCCATTGCATAGTGGCCAATATCAAAATAAACAATGGCAATTCATCATAGTATGCCTCAGGCAGATGTTTCATTTTTCATCATAGTGCTATAACATTTACAAGAGACATGTATTGCATAAGCTTTCACAAGGCATTCACACATAGACCTTCACAGTGGCATGTGGTACTCATTATGAAATTATTTCATCACTAAAGCACTTGTGGACCCATTCCACACATAAAGCATTCATTTGAAATGGTTCACATATTTTTAAGGCATTTGAGTGAAATTCATCATATGGAATTGTTCCCGTATCTTCCTCGCATTCATATGAAATTTGTCATATATCATTCACATTTACCATATATGAAAACAATTTAGTGTCGCATGGATATATAATTGGTGCAGTGACGAGTAGCAGTGACATGCTTCTCTTTACGAGGGCGTAGCTCCTGATTTAGGGGGAGTTTCAAAATGCCTTCAACATAAAACCTGGAGCTTGCACATAAATATTTACAATGACATAAATTTGAAAGAGTTTGGGCACCGTTTAGTTGGTCGATAGCCTAGTACAAAGGGAACCTTCGTTGCTGGAAATTTTCCTGCAATAGTTCGTGGTGACGTCTTTGCCCATTTCGGATCACAGTTCAAAATCCGTGGGAAATTTTAAAAATATCAAAACATGCAACTTTGAGTACATTCACAGACCTCTCCAATGGTTGAGATTTTAAGATTTTTGGACACCATTTGCTGGGTCGAAACATTGCCCGAAGAGGGCCACAGTTGTTGGAATTAGCAGCGACTGTGGGTAGTTCATGTCTCAATATCTTAGGCCATATCTCTTTCATTAATGGACAATTTTATCAAGTCATAAAAAGTGAACTTAGAGTAAATATGCATGTCTTCTATTTGGGACCGATTTGGTCCCATTTGGACACCATTTGGCCCATGATAATTTAATGCCAAAAATAGTAAATAATTTGGCGATTTTTGTCATGCGTTACGGACACTTAATATCTCATGGTCAAGGTGCATTTTGGGCATGAAACCTTATTCATGCCAACAAGTCTCGCTATGAGCATTCCATGAGTTTCCATGGATAACAATAGCATACATACATATTTAACATGGTCATGGAATTTAGGAGCACACTATCAAATTTCCAATCTTGTGCCAACCCATTCATACTTCAAATGTTTCATTCAATCATCCAACCCATTTTCATCATGTTTTCAATAGTCATGGGTGCATAAAAGTTAGACCCACTTACCTTAATTCTCACGGTGCCTCAACTCTAGCTCCCGGCTTTCACGGCCTATCCTTGGATCCACCAGTGGGCTTTCTTCAAAAGGCGCCACTAAACTCCTTAGGGAAAGGGAGAGTGTGAAATGAAGAAATCGTCTTTTTCAAAGGGCTTAAGTACTCAAGGTTAATTGGATTCACTGTGGCTGACGTAACAACTCATACCTCTGACACATACGGGGCGACACTGTCAGGTGACAGCTGTCTGGTCAATAAAAACACACACTGGTGTTGCTTCCTCC